CACGAACCAGCGGGACGCAGCCAACAGCTTCCATTGAGCACCTGGTCCTCCCGCACGACCCTCCGGACCATCACTCCCCCGACACATCAGACCTTAACCACTGCGAACTACCCGAGTGATCTCCGGACTATAGACTCATTTTTTTTGTTATTTAGTATTAACTATTATACATAAATCATATTTAAAATATAAAAACTAATTTAGGGAAAGGTGTAACTAGCTACTGTAGCCATCGACTCGGTAATTGAGAAAACTTTACTTTAATGTATTTGTGACTTAACATTTTATAATAGGTGTAATTTAATTAATAATTTAAATTTGAATTGGTGGTGTGGTAAGACCAATGAGGTTTGTTCTGAGGATATGATAGTGTCCGTATGTATCTAATAGATGTTTGACTGATAGTTCGTCCCCGCAGATTGGAAATTTATGTGTCCGGTTTTTAATCGAGTTAGTATGGCAACCTCTTCAATTGAGTCTTGTATTAAAACTTAGGAAGCTATTTTGAAATTGTTATCTTATCTGCTTGCCCAAGCGGGATTTTGACCCCAGCGGTGGAATCATGATTATATTTTGGGTAGGCTCTAGTGGCCTGCACTTACAGCATTTCAAGTGCTGACGCTTCTCTCTTGTTGATCAGAAATTAAGAGCCCATAAAATCGTATACTTTATTAGTGTTCATCTGAACAATGGCTTATACCCTTCTGTTGCTTAACGCAGAGAATTTGATGTCATTTTTGTCAGGGTTAAGGGGTACAGTATTAAAAACTTCCGATGTTATGGGCAGTTGAACGTGGGGAAGTTAGCTCTTTTGTATACGAAAACTTTAAAACGCTCTCCTGAAAAGTTGCCATTTTTAAAGTCAGTGCACACGATCCTGCAAAATCTACTGGACGAATCGTTTTGAAATTACACAGTACTTCTTTACTAAATTCCTCAGGTAACGCTATCTAGTTTTTTTTTGTTTTTGGGACAATTTATTATTTTTACAACAACAAATAACTCGGATTTTTGGGCGAAAATCGGGGTTTTTGCGTTACCTGTGGAAATTCGTCTTTTCAATAATGATTCAATTCAGATGATTCTGTGATTAGTTAAAATGTTCACCGCAGACAACCTTTTTTCAAGATGCAGACAGAGATTGACCATATCTCACTCACTTTTCAATATTTTTGGATGCAAATTTTTACACATATTGTTTAAATGTTTTATTATCAAAAACAAAAATTTTACTGAGGCTATTCGTATTGCCAATAAAACTTCGAATTAACCATACCCCCTTAAATTGTTTATAGCAATGTTTAGAAGACGAACAGTCTTTCAATTCCAAGTTGAGAAATATGTTCTTAATGTTTTCAGATATCCTGTTGGACTCCAGATATGACTGTGTGGCACAGAGCCCGACCGTTCCCATATATTCCTATGTGCGCCGGATCCCATAATTGCTTAATTTGGCTTATGTTTTTAATGCAGAGGTGAGTTTCGCATAAAAGGATGTTGTTGTTGCAAAAGTTTTGGACTCTGTTCATTTCACTAGTCCGTCCAATCCTGGAGTACTGTTCAGCAGTTTGGAGTCCTCAGTATGGTGTACATATAGACCGGATAGAGTCTGTGCAAAATAACTTTTTATTATTTGCTCTACGGGGCCTTAACTGGAATGCAAGCCTTATTTTACCATCCTACTCTAGTAGACTTCTGCTAATTAATCTACCATCCCTAGTGAGCCGTAGAACGATGCTTGGCACAACTTTTATCTATAAACTTATTCACGGGGACGTGGAGAGTCCCGAGTTACTGGGTCGTATAAACTTATCCGTGCCTAATAGAATTACCAGGAACTATGTTCCTCTTACTTTAAATATTTGTAGATCTAACTATGATATGCATGAACCGTTTAGAGTACTGTGTAACGACTATAATAGACTATACCATGTTATTTCTACTACCGACTCTTTGCCAAGCCTAAAAGCATTCATTTTATCTTACTTAGCACATAATTAGTATTAGTATTAGTCTTATTACTTACGTATTTCTAACTTAGTCTGTCCGCTTCTATAGTGTCTTTCTCACTTGTCGCGATCTCGTTTTTACGCCCATTGGGTAATAGGGCTCCGCTCGTAACAAGCACTGCTTGGTGTCGAAAGGGCCACTTGTTTGCGCTGATCATAGTGTATCAACGTCCGAAAAAAAAACAATAATCATGGTAATATATGCCATAAGAAAATGTGCTACAAGGCAACGATTGCAAGCCGTTGCTTTCGCCGAACCGTTGCAAGGTGTCTTATAATAAGTTAAAATCAAATAAATAAATATATCAATTTAAAACAAGACAGAACGCTATAGTCGAGTGCCTCGACTATTAGATACCCGTTACTCAGCTAAACAACTTTAGATTTTGCATTAACATAATGTGAATTAGAGTGACCACAGGAAAAAAGAACAAAAAGTTCAAATTATCAATTTGAATTAGGCGATCTCTTAGAGCTGGCAGCTTTACAGCACGAGCATCATCAAATAACGTTGACTCTGTTGAGCACCTTGGCCAGCTGTTCCAAAGTCATCCGTTAGATGGCGCTATTACATTGCGCCATCTACCCCAATACATTGGTACCACGGGCCATGAAAGGCGGAAATGAAGGCGCTAGCCAGGCTTAAGTGTTTAATGGGTTTTTGGGCGTTACAGTGGGCGTGGCAAACTTTTATTAGGCCAATCGATATTTATTGACAAAACAAATACATATCAATTAAAATTTTCATAATATCATCAAAACTGTGGCCACAGCTTGTGGCTGGTGGGCGTCAGAGGAGGCGTGACACCATTTTGAAACAAACTTGCGCTGCGTTGGAACTCCTAAAATCTACATGCAAAATGCCAATCTTCTAGCTTTTATAGTTTCCGAGATCTCAGCGTTCATACGGACAGACAGACAGACGGACAGGCAGACGGACAGACAGACGGACAGACAGACGGACAGACAGACGGACAGACAGACGGACAGACAGACGGACAGACAGACGGACAGACAGACGGACAGACAGACTGACGGACAGACAGACAGACGGACAGACAGACGGACAGACAGACAGACAGACAGACAGACAGACAGACGGACAGACGGACAGACAGACGGACAGACAGACGGACAGACAGACGGACAGACAGACGGACAGACAGACGGACAGACAGACGGACAGACAGACGGACAGACAGACGGACAGACAGACGGACAGACAGACGGACAGAGACGGACAGACAGACGGACAGACAGACGGACAGACAGACGGACAGACAGACGGACAGACAGACGGACAGACAGACGGACAGACAGACGGACAGACAGACGGACAGACAGACGGACAGACAGACGGACAGACAGACGGACAGACAGACGGACAGACAGACGGACAGACGGACGGACAGACGGACAGACGGACAGACAGACGGACAGACAGACGGACAGACAGACGGACAGACAGACGGACAGACAGACGGACAGACGGACAGACAGACGGACAGACAGACGGACAGACAGACGGACAGACAGACGGACAGACAGACGGACAGACAGACGGACAGACAGACGGACAGAAAGACGGACAGACGGGCATGGCTAGATCGACTCGGCTAGTGATCCTGAACAAGAATATATAAATTAAATTATTTAAGTTTCCCTCGCAGTTGCAGCTTACCCAGGGGGCTGCGGGTGGCAAGGTTCGTCGCTGTGGTGGTTAGCCGGCTGGCCGTAGAATTCTCCAAGATGAATTACGAAGATTATGTTGGAAGGGTCTAGGGACTCAGACAGTTTTTCAATAATAAGAATTTAACGACGGTAGTCGGAGTATAATTTGTATGAGCGACAGCTCTTTATTCATATAAAGTCAAATCTAAACTGAAACTTAAAGCTAACAAAAAAGAGACTCATAGCGGCCACTCCAATGGGTAGTCTTTGCCGGCTATGCACGAGCTTCCAGCCAGACGCTGTGTCAGCAATTTGGCCGGAGCGAGCCTTCGGACGATAGGTCATTGCCGTCGCCGGGTTAACTTAGTTAACTTATATACTTTATAGGGTCAGAAACGCTTTCTTCAACCTGTTACATACTTTTGCACGAATACAATATATCCTTTTACTCTACAAGTAACGGGTATAAATACAGTCCACTAATTTTATGTTTGCATTGGTAACGAAAAGAATTGATGTATTAATAACCTGTACACCTCACTTTGCCGGCCCTTGGCATAATGTTCAAGAAGAGCACTAATTATCATAAATATAAGATTTTACGAGCTCTGGTTCTGTCAACATGTATATCTATCTAGAGCCGTTAATAACGATCTGTAACTTAAAACCTACAAGGGTGCAGTGCCGAACAATTGTAATCTTAAGGACAGGCCACTTGAGCCTGACCATAAATATAGTTCTCACACTGCACAAAAGGTCGCCTTGCGGGAGACCGTTGATAAGGCTCCCGCTCAGGCTTACAGATGTGGTTTCTGCGTAGACCATAGATAAGGATATTATAAGAATTTCATGTTAGTTACGTAAGCGAAGACTTAGAATAGACTTAGACTTAGAGAAATAAAGTCAGTTTTAATACAGAACTCAAACGTGAAGGTTGTTTTCCTTATTACAGGAATCCCTTACACCGTTCTTAATTCATTTTTGAAACTTTGAAATGATCCTGGAAGATAAAAATTTATATATAAAAATTAATTATTTCCTTATTCAGGTTTTTACTTAAGACGCGCGGTACTGAGCGAATGAGAAGACTTTCGGGAGGCGATGACCGTCACGATTTATTTCCAAAATTCAACTAAATACTAAGTACATAAATTCTTATAATGAAAGCTAGCCCTATGCCCTGAAAGTGCTGACCCGGCGCCCCGTGTGTGGTGTTGGGTAGCCGTCGGTTGCGTCGCAGTGCATTGCCCGCTGATAGCGCTGACCGAAGCTTGGGCAATATCCGCAGGTGTCGCTGGCTTTGCATTATTCTCATGCCGGCTACGCGTGATCAGTTTGGCAACTTCTCTGTTGCCGGGTGACCGTGTTAACTCCTCCCCCGCTTAGATGAAGGACGTCCTCGGACTTCTTGAAACCGTCAATAATAACTTGAAGGTCATGCTGGCGACGAACTCGCTGGCGTCTTTGGTAGAGCTTGAAAATGATAAAGCAGATGGCGAAGAAAGCGAACGCGGCCACTCCAGATATTATAGGCCGGTTTTCCAGTCTCTTTTCCATTTCGCCAATGTATCGTAGGTTTTCTATGTTTAATTTCTGTAAATATGGTAAACTCAGTATTTCCTGATGGTCTGTAATGTTAAGGACCGTTGATGCAGCGGGTGCTGGGAATTTTTTTACGTAGCTCTTCAAGTTTCGGTATAAGGTGTTGTTTACTTTTACCTCCTCGTCGAATGTAACGAGGAACGTTCCAGTTACCAGTTGTCCATTGGCCGTAGCTGTTCCGTCATTGAGAATAATAACGCCGTCATCGATGATTGTTAGTGGCTCGAGGTGGCTGGTGCGAGTCGAACAGTGTGCGTTGCCTCCTGAGAGGAGTTGTTGTGCGCATGTTGCATAGGGCAGTTCTCTGCAGAATGTTGTCGTAAGGGCAGCGCTGCAGTTTCCAATCGGCATGATTTTGTTACCGCAGTCAGCTACACTATCGCCTTCAGCAAAATTAAGAATAGTGCCGTTGTGTTCAACGGGGTGCAAGATTATTTTCTTACAAGCTATGTGGGGCTTAGGATATTTTAATATAAAGTGTAAAAAGTTATTATTTAATAAAACTTTAATTTGAGCTACTTCCATTGGATCGGTTATAGTAACATTTGTGGAATGTTCATTGATTAAATTTTGTAAGTCATTTGAGTCTAAAATCGCGGGATTGATTATTCCAATTTTTGCAAGAGTAACCGACAACATTAAGGCCTCGAGTTCGGAAATAATAATTCTATTTCTTGATAGCAAGTTCTCATATAAATTTTCTGTATTTATCTGTTTTGCTTTTGCATTTTTTACTAAAAGTTTTACCGTGTTCGTTAGGATGTTTATTTGTTCCTGGGTCTTTGTGTTAATGTTTATTTGTCTACTTTCTGATTCTATGAGTTCTTTCTGCCTAAATTTAATGCTCTCAAAGTCATCAAAATCTGGAGTACCGGCTACGATTTTTAATGCGGTGCCTAATAAATTTATGCTTCTAGCGTGTCTATGATGAACATTTACGGTATCTATGAGAGTCTTAATGTGTCGTAAATCTGAGTCTAATATCTGCCTCATATGTGACTGGGGGAAATGGTTTCTCATTTCTTCTGTTTCTTTAATTATTTCCGAGTACATGGTTAAGTCGGTTGTTTGTGTTTGAGGTATTGGAAGTCTCTCCAAATAGTCACATGCCCGTCTATAATTGGTATGTAATTTGAGGTCGTGTAGTCGGTCATTTTAGCTGCTATTGGTACGGCGAGGAGTAGAATCATCCAAATCCTAGTGTGTCGAAGATAAAAATAAAAAAGAAAAATAAGATTTATTGTAATTACCTCAAATTGTCCTTATGGACCACCCTCCCTTTTATTAAGACTGTGGTCCCTAAGTCTGCTTCGACGGTTTCCTCGGAGTACAAATCTGAAAGTTTGTTTCCCAACCTCTTATTTGATTTCACAAGAACCTTGTCTCCTACCTGAAAATTTCTGTCTTGTCTTGTTTTGTTCAATCTTTGTAGTTGAATGTTCTGGGCATTTAAGACTTTATCCCTAATTTCTGTGTTGAGCTCAATGGTCGATGAGTGTATTATGTCAATGGGTCTTTTATTTGTTTCTGAGTGAATAGTTCTATTATATTCTATAGCCGCGGGAAGTATTAGTTCAACAGTGTCTTCAATACTTCTTTCAATTTTTAAGCACCGTGCAATTTCTGTCAGTGTACTGTGGAATCTTTCCACTTGTCCGTTCGATGTAATATGAAGAGGCGGTGCATTAACGATTTGTACGTTAAACCGGTTACTTAAAAAGGACTTAATTGTTTCGGATTTTATAGAAGGCTCATTATCGCAATAAATTGTTTTTGGTCGTCGATAGAAATTTATAAGTTGTAAGATCGCGGTTTGTACGTCTGCAATGGTTCTGGAAGCAATTGGTTGAACAATTGAAAATTTTTAAAATTTATCTACACAAGTAAGAAAGTATTTTTTGTCGGTCGAAAATATGTTTCCCCGAGATGATATTTTGCCTTCTGGCAAATTTTACAATTTGCGACGACCTCATTTGCCATATGAGTCATTTTGGGGAAAAAATAGTCCTGCATGATCTGCTTCACGTTTTCCTGTCCAGCTCTATGAGCCCTGTTATGTTCTGACACAGTAATTTCTTTTTGTTCGTTTTTGTCTAAGATGTCGGTCACTATGCGGTTTGTGTAACGAAAAGTGGTTGTCGGAAATGTTTCTATTAATTTATGCTGGATAAATGCCAGTACTGGCAGTTCGCAAAAAATTGCATTGACTACGTCCTTCTTGACCACATCACATATTTTCTGCATAATTGTTTCTCTATCCGAGAAATGTAAGAGATGTCGAGTCTTTTCACCAAACATAATGACCGTTCTAACTGAAGCAATTCCGCTTTCTTCTATTATTATTTGGTTCCGAAAGCAGTTGACCGGCTTGTCCGTTTTTTCGACGGTGTAGGTTAGTGATAATTCGCTATGTATTGTGGCAATATCTGACTGCGCATCTTCTTCTAGCGAGTGAATGTGCTGTCGGGACAGCGCGTCAGCAACGTAGTTCTCTTTTCCTGGCTTGTACAAAATTTGTGCATTGTGCTCGTCAATGAAAGCTTTCCAGCGCTTAATTTTTGCGTTTGGATTGCGATCTGAGACGGCGAAAGTTAGTGGTTTGTGGTCAGTAAAAATGTTTCAATTTTTTACGCCGTATAGGTAATTTCTAAGGCTCTTTAAGGCCCACACAATTGCCAACAACTCTCTTTCGTTTGTTGCAAAATTTAGTTCCCAGTCTTTTAAAGTTCGTGATATCATGGTTATGGGTTTTCCGTCCTGTGATAAGACTGCTCCCAAACCGAAAGACGAAGCGTCTGTCGTTAAGTCAAAGGTTTTTTATAATTTGGATATAATAACATTACGTTTTCTGACGCGAGAACACTCTTAAGCTTCTCAAATGCCTGGCGCTGATGTTCATCAAAGTTAACGGGTATTTTTTTAGATTGGCCTGCGCTTACTTTGCCATTCTCGCCTTTTAGGATGTCACTTATTGGTTCTGCAATAGATGCAAAGTCCTTAATAAAACACCTATAGTAACTTGCTAATCCAAGGAATGATCTGACATTAAATAGTGTGGTTGGTTGCTCGTAGTTACGAATTGCATCTACTTTGCTAGGGCATGTACTTATGCCTCCTCGTGAAACTACGAAACCTAAATACTCTACGCTTTCTTTAAAGAAATTAGATTTTTCACGCGAAACCCTCATGTTGGCCTCATATAATTTGTCCAAGACCCATGCTATGTGTTTCACAAGATCGTGCATATTTTCTGAAAAAATAATTACGTCATCGACATAGACATAGCATGATTTCCCTATTTGTTCTCTGAGCACATCATCGATGGCTCTCTGAAAAATGCTGGGCGCATACTTCAATCCAATGGGCAGTCTGCAAAATTCATATTTCCCATTTCCTACTGAGAAGGCTGTTTTCTCTCTGTCGTTTTCGGCGAGAAGTATCTGGTGGAAACCAGACTTTAAATCCAATGTGGTAAAGTGTTTCGCCCTCCCTAAATTTGCCAGGATAAAAACAACTTTCGGGATAGGGTATTTGTCGTCTATTGTCTTTAAGTTAAGTTTTCGGAAGTCTATTACTAGGCGTTTTTTTGTGTTTCCCTGCTCATCGGTCGCTTTTTTATCTACAACCCAAACAGGGTTGTTATACGGAGACCGAGATGGTCGGATTATGCCGTCTCGTAACATGGCTTTTGTTTCTTTATTTACAAAGTCGGACACACCCATCGGGTATGGGTACAATTTTGAATATATTGGGTCTTCGTTCTCTGTCCGGATAGTACCAATGATATTAGTATTGTAAGGCAGCGCCTCGTTCGGCTCTGCGAATACGCCTGTGTGATATCCCAACATGTCCTGGAATTTTTCTGAAATTTCCTGGGGTACCTCAATATCCTCAACCTTTGTAAAATTAACATTTGCAAATTTTAAAAATTTAATTTCTTCCGCACTGCTATTAGTTATTAATTTCTTGTCTTTTAGGTCGAGTACGACATCAGTTTTTTTTAGTAAGTCTAGTCCGATTATTCCATCAAAGGTCGTTAAGTTCGGTAGTAAGAAAAATGTTGTAGTTGTGTTAAAAAGGTGCATCATGCATTTTTTATTTATGGTGTTGTGACCGTCGATTAATTTTACAGAAAATGGTTTATTTACGTAAATAATGTTTTTTAATTCTTTCATAGGCTTGATATAATTTTTGGAAGCCCCTGTGTCTATCAAAAGTTTGATTTTCCTCCCTGCGATATCCCTTTCTTTTCAGGGAGTTATGCCTAAAAAATTTATTTCGTCATATTCTACAAGGTCATTGTCTACATCTTCTACTTCTTCCTCTGCTACTGTAGGGTATTCGTCATTGTTTTCGTTCGATAAATCGTTGTCTAACGCTAAATGGTTTATTCTTTGGTGTTTCGGTCCTGTGTACCTAGCGCTACTATTATTAGGTCTTTTACTTGCCAGTCCCTGGTTATTGTAAGCGTTCGCTTGGAAATTTTGTGGACTTGTCTGCCTTTGACTGTTTTGGGGCTGTCTTTGAAACGGACCACTTTGTTGATTTTGAGTTGGCTGTCTAAAGCGAGATGTGCTATCGACGTCCATTGGCTGTACCGGATCTTGTCTAAGTGGCTGTCTTGGCCTTTTATTAAAATGGGGTTTTTACCCTCCGGGTGGAATCTAGATTCTGTTACCGGATTTCTTTCTCTGTCCAGTTGTCTCTGTTCGGACCTTTGGAGTTTTTCCTCCGTGCTACGGGCAAAATTACTTGCGAACATATATCGCTCATGGTTAGCCTCTACTTCCTGTGCTAGCGCTAGAGCGGAAGGAAGATCAGATGGTCTTGCTGAAAAAAGAACATCGCTTAGCGATTTTCTTGTTCCAGAAATAAAAACGCGTAGCGCATCCGCTCTGTATTTTTCGTTCAGTGGAGCAGCTACGGTGTTGTCGTAGGTCATAATTGTCTTATTTATAAGCAGAGTCAGTTTTTTTATGGCCCTAAAGTTCAGAGGTGTGTCGAACGACGAAATAACCATATCGGCTGAATTTTTTATTTTATTTCTTAGTATCCCTAAAGCTTGGTAATGTTTGGAACTACCATCGTATTTTTCGTACACTTTATATGCGGTGTACGCCGCTTTTCTCCATGAGACGTACGTCTCATTTTTACCCTCGAAGTCCGGCAGGGACTTCATAATATCTAAGGTCTCATTACATGTAATACCTATTCTGATATCTGCATCTCTGTATGTTTCAACTTCTGGTGTACCGATATTAACACCACCTAGCCGCTTCTGAACGTCCTGTAATTTTTGTTCGAAATTTTTTTCCTGTGCGGCGAGTGCGCTCGCAACCGCGCCCTCTATA